GGTTCTCCATTTGGGCCGGCGGGAGATATCTTGACCAGTCTCTAAATATCACGAACTTTTCCGTTTATCAGATAGTTGCTAAATGGGTTAGATGGTGGTATTGAAACAGTGACCACCCATACGTTGAATAATATGGGCTATAGTTCATTTTGAACACATTATGTATTCGTCGTTCACCATAGCTCTCGCAGGACTGTGGCGCGCTCGATAGTTGGTGTTGGCATAGAACTGACCAAGTATGCCCGGGTCATGCACTGTGAAAGTCAAGTCAAGAGTGTACTTTATTCAGAATTTTCAGTGAAAAGATTTTTATCATTTTTGTTTTGGCACATGCGCTATTAAAAATGAGTTAAGAGATATGACTATCAGCGTAAAAATTAACAATAGACTGTGTATAAGTTCGTTTGGCATTTGTCCCCTGGAAACCAACAAACGTGACAGTTAAGGTACAGCGGAGTTGTGAAAAACGAGTACGAGTATATCAAGGTTTAAATTTATTGCCGGTTACAGAAGTTGAAATGGAGCGAGACAGGGCTGAGTGTAATGGATGCGACGCATCGGACAAGATAGAGTTACACATACGGTCACACTCTTTAGAATGTTGCTTGGCAATGGAATCAACCATCCCCTCATAAGATACAGATCCATATCCAGAGATGCTTTTAAGAAGGCGTCTCATTATTGTAAAATCCTTAGACAGTAGACCGGAAAAGATAACGGGAGAGCAGAAAAGTCGAATGAGAAAATAAATCTGAAGATGATGTACAATGCACCATCAGATGCCGAAGGTGTAAAATAGAAAAGGTCAAATTTCTGACTTTAGGAAATGTTTGTTCTACGGGATACGAACATTTGAGGTTAACAGACACAAAATATTTAAGATATTTGAGATGTTGTCTTCAGTCTTCAGTCTTCAAGATTGAGGGTAGAGAGCAGGATGCCCGTGTCAGTCCCATCACCACTGAGTCGAAGATCCGATCACAAGTGTTCGTTACGCCATAGCCCCTTCAGGTGCTCATCCAGACGTCGTTTGAAAGCAGCGTCTGTCTTCCCTTTCACCACATCGCTGGAAGCGAATTTCAGAGTGTTGTTGAGCTACGCGAGACTCAGTAGACTAAGGAAGACCAACTGACTGCAGTTTCCGCAACATGAGAGAGTGCAGATGAGATCTCCCCTGAGGCGTCGATACGCAATTGGGAACAGACCAGTAGCCTGTAGACGACCTTCATAGCTGGTCCCGCGTAGTCCAACAACGAGGCGGGTGGCAGCACGTTGCACACGCTCCAAATTAGCCAATTCACCGGCCGTGCAGGGGTATGTCGCCGCACTACTGTACTCAAGTCTTGGTCTGACAGGGGAAGTGGACAGCAGCCTGAAAGCGTCCATTGTGAGCTGGTTGAAAGACAGCCGAATAGGCCCCAGAATGCTCCATGCGCTAGCACAGACCCGATCGGTCTTTAGTGATGACGTAATGATAACACCCAGGTCTCGTTCGCACGATGTTCTGCGCAATGTGGTTTCCTGAATGTTGTAGACTACTTCGGTATCAGCACGTCCCAAATGCAGGTGAGCACACTTTGCTGTGTTGACTGAAAGAGCCCAGGTATCCGCCCATTTAGTCAGATTGTTCAAATCCTCTTGAAGAGAACTTCGATCATTCGGAACCTTGATTGTACGCCAGATTTTGATGTCATCCGCATACATGAGCGATGGGCTGCACAGTTGACCAGGCAGGTTGTTCACACATACCACAAATAGCAATGGACAAAGAATCGAGCCTTCGGGGACCCCACTTGGAGCGGAGTCCCACGCAGGGAGCGATTTACCAACACGGGCGCAGGATTTCCAATCGATGATGTAGTCTCGCAGCCAATTTCGCATTACCACACCTACACCCAGGTTGGACAGCTTTCGCAAAAAGAAGATTGTGCAGCACATTTTCGAAAGGCCACCTCTCCTATGGTAAATGGGGCTCATTTCAGCGAGGTGTCAGTGTCCAGTAGATGTGCCAGTATGCTGGAGGCTGGGGTGTACACTGAGGCATAATGTGATGCCAGCATCTCCGTTTTGTCCTCATCCTTTTCGGCTAGTGCCCCATCTTTGGCGAGCGTGGGGACACCAGGCATTGCTCTAATTCTTCGGCTGAGGTAGACATACAGTCGCTTCGGTGCTTGTACTGAATCCGGTGCTAGTCGTTCCTCGAATCTGGTTCCNACCAACACGGGCGCAGAATTCCCGGTCGATGAAGAAGTCTTGCAGCCAATTTCGCATTACCACACCTACACCTAGGTTGGACAGCTTTCGCAGCAGGAGGTCATGCGGCACCTTGTCGAAGGCCTTGCTGAAGTCCACGAAGTTGGTGTCCGTTTCATGTCCTTTGGCGTTGTCCTCGGTCCAGTATTCACGTGCAAGTAGCAGATTTGAGAGGCATGGGCGACCCGGCCGGAAACCGTGTTGTTGGTGGCACATGTAACCGTGGCACACCAGATGAAGCCGAAGCCGTGCAGCCACCAGTAGCCCCATTACTTTACCCACAAAGCTAGTAAGACTGACTGGTCGGTAGTTAGCACGGTCACTCCTATCCCCACTTTTGGGTAGTGGAACAATGACAACGTCAT